TCTCAGAATTCCTCGATTTTGATGACTTTGACAGTTTTGAGTTATCTGGTCAGTTATTTTGTAGAATGGCCCTATATTAAAACTTGCCTGATTTTTTTCTCATGGTTATATTGGGGTTATGTGTTTTGGCGAGGAAGACCACAGGAGTGGAGTGTCATGTTCTATTTAAAAACAAAAAAAAATTTTTTTTAGTTTTAGAAAGGGGGAGGGAGGGAGAGAGAATCTTAAGCAGGCTCCATGCTCAGTGCAGAACTTAGCGAAGGGCTGTATCCCACGCATGACCCTGGGATCATGACCTGAGCCAAAATCAAAAGTAAGATGCTTATCTGCCTGAGCCACCCAAGCACCCTAGAGTGTCATTTTCATAACATCGTATCATATACCTGTGATTTACCTCTACTGATGTTGATCTTACTCACCTGGCTGAGGTAGTGCTTGTCACATGTCTCTACCATAAAGTTAGTCTCCCCTCCCCCTCTTCTGTACTGTGCTCTTTGGAAGGAAGTCACTCCTTGAAAGTGCACTGTCCACACAAATCACTTGCAATTCTTCTTCAAGGGAGATTTGTCTTTTCTCCCTCATTTATTTGTTTCAGTCCTTTTTTAAAAAAATTTAAGTCCTTTTTATCAGTATAGACACATGGATATTTATTTTAGGTTTGGGGTAATAATTTCATACTTCCTTATTTGATATCCCTTTGGCATACCCACTTCAGTGTGAGGGATGGGGAGAGGGTTTTTTTGGTTTGTTTTTTAGCATTTCCTTACTTTCTGGCACTATGAGATACTCCAGGCTTATCTAATATATCTCCTGCTCCAGTATTAGATTCAGCCATTTTCCCAAGGAGCCCAAGGTTTGGCTGTTTTCATTATAAGGTGATTACTCACCTTATATAAGGATAAAGGTATTGGTGCATGCAAGTTATTTTATATAATTTGATTGACAACTTTTCAGGAACATGCCTTTTGCTAGACTCAGCTATTTTAAAAACTGTGTCTAGCTTTTAAAAATTTCCAGTGAGGCTTCATTCTAGCCAGAATATGAAAAGCCATTCTAAGAAGTATCTTTATCTCTGTCCTCATCGTGAAAGGAGGTCATTGGTGATATTGTGGGGTGTTATAAGGATTTTGTGGCAAAGCCTGATAGAGTGGAAAGAGTACCAGACTGAGATTGGAAACTGGGTCTAGTCCAGATGTTTCCTCTGCACCCATGTGCACTTGGTCAAATATCACTTTGCTCTTTGGGCCTCGTCTATAAAAAGAGGTGAGTGGCTGAGCTCATTTCTAAGGTTCTATTCAGCTCTAAAATACTGTGCTATTAACAGCAGCAGCATTAACTTTGGGACAGCAGTAGCTTTGAGGAATTCAGGGTGGGAGATGTGGGCAGGAATAGGAGTGTGAAATGGCAAGCAAGCTGTGACTCCAGGATGAAGAGGGAGATCAGTGATAGAAATACCAAATCTCAGATAGCTAGAGAGCCCCAGGTAAGCAGTATCATTAGGGATCATATTAAATATTAATGATAATATTAAAGTCTTCATCTTGATTTTAATGTAACCTATACCTGCTGCTCTAGATCCCTGGCAGAGTGTGCTTTAGGCTTGCGGTTCTCAAACTCAGCTGCACATTGGAATCACCTGGAACACATTCAGAACTACCATTGCCTAGGGATTAGGACAGGACATCTTTTGGGGGACCACCATTCTGCCTACCGCAGATTGAGACAGAACAACTACTGTAATTACAGGCCCACACATGGAATTAAGTTACTGTGACACGTGGCATCTCTTTACTTTGTTTTAGCTGTGTTAGGATTTAATCGGAGACCATATTTGTGGCAAGCGTCTGACTCCTGATCTTGGCACAGGTCATGATCTCACAGTTCATAGGATCAAGCCCTGCACTGGGTTCTGCACTGCCAGCGAGGAGTCTGCTTGGGATTCTCTCTCTTCCTCTCTCTGTGTCCCTCTTCTGCTCGTGCACCCTCCTCCCCCACCCCCACTCAAAAGTAAATAAATAAGCATTAAAAAAAAAGAAATACTGTTGCCTGGATTACAATATGTGGTTTGTGTGCAGCTAAGGGATCAGCAGTTTTAAGTTCTTCTCTCCCGTCTCTCCCTCCCATTCCAATGACACCCAAGTTAGGAAAGTATAGGCTATAGATGCTCTTGCTCCTCTCCCATAGAGCATAATCTCTTTAAGGGCAAGACTACATCTTACTCATTTTTGTGGTCCCCAGAGTACCTTGTACATAGCAGCTGATGAATAGAATTTGGATAGTGTGTTAGTTTCCTATTGCAGCTATAACAAATTACCACAAACTTCATAGCTTAATACAACACGATTTTCTTACATTCTAGAGGTCAGAATTCCAAAATGGGTCTCACTAGGTAAAATTAAGGTATCAGCAGAGATGGTCCCTTCTGGCATCCCTAGGGGAGAATTGATTTCCTGTCTTCTTCAGCTTTTATTTATATTATATTTTGTTTTTAATTTTTTAATGTTTTTTTATTTTATTTACTTCTGAGAGAGAGAGAGCATGAGCAGGGGAGGGTCAGAGAGAGAGGGAGGTACAGAATCCGAAACAGAGGCTCCAGGCTCTGAACTAGCTGTCAGCACAGAGCCCGACACGGGGCTCAAACCCACGAACTGTGAGATCATGACCTGAGCCAAAGTCAGACGTTTAACTGACTGAGCCACCCAGGCTCCCCTTCTTCAGCTTTTAAAGGCTGCCCAGCTTCCTTGGGTCATGCCACCATACCTCTCCAACCTCTGCTCCCATTGTCATACCTATCTCCTTCTCTGACTCTGACCTTCCGCTCCCTCTTCTAAGGTCCAACAGGATAATTACTCTCCATCTCCAGACATATTTACAGATTCTAGGGATTAGGACAAGACATCTTTTGGGGGACCACCATTCTGCCTACCACAGATTGAGACAGAACAACTACTGTAATTACAGGCCCACACATGGATTTAAGTTACCGTGACACGTGTCATCTCTTTACTTTGTTTTAGCTGTGATAGGATTTAATCAGAGACCATATTTGTGGCAAGTTATACATCCTAGTAAACGTTTAACATGTGTAAAACAGTGAGGAGTCTGGGAACAACAGAAATAAAGAGCAGGGTCATAGCTTTAAATGATTCAGTAAAGGGATATTCAGAACTGTTAATTGGCTATGGGGAGTTTGAAAGGGCAGGCCGGGCTGCTTAGTCACGCTAGCAAAGGGCTGTGCCTACAGGCCTCGGGGATGGTGGCTGGGATCTCTGTTGTGTGTTTGCCTTGTCTGCCACACACTCCCCCTCGCTCCCTCAGCCTGGTTGTCCTGGGGGACAAGCCAGCTGGCGTCTTGAGCCCCACTCACAGCTCTGCAAGCAGCTCCCTCTCTACTGGACAAAAGGCATAAGGGCCAGCAGGTAACACATCTAGCCCTGAGTCCCAGGCCGTGTCTGTCATATGATTGGGGGCAAGGGTGTGTACATAGCCGAGGAAGAGTCCTGAAAGATACGGTTTTAGATAAGGGTTTCCATTTACTGCTAAATGCACCGGAAGGCAGAAGCCACTGAGGAAAAGTGTCTTTCTGCTGAGGAACTACTTTGACCCTATTACCTCTGCAGGGGCCCTATTCCCCTCTCCCACCAAAGCCCCAAGATGGCCTTTTCCAGCTGGTCTCTGTCTCGTAGGACAGTGGAGTCTAGCCAGCCATCTCCTTCCCCACTGAGTCGGTCAAGTCCCTGCTGCTGAGAACTCCCTCCAGCCAGAGCGTGGCCCCAGCAATTGCCATGGTGACAGCCAGCTGCTGCTTAGCACCAGCCTGGGGACGGGGCACAAAGAGTGGCCAAGAGATGTGCACATTGGGCTGCCCTGCACTCCTGGAGGCCCGCGATGGGGGTGGGAGGCAGAAAAGGCCCCTTGGGGGCTTGTTCTTAGTCTCTGATGAGTGTGTTCTCTCAGGGAGAAGCCAGGAAGTTTGAAGGGTCTAAACTCGTTTGCTCCACACTGGAATCCAGGTTTATAAAGATGAAGGCTCCCTTGCCAAGCCAGTGTGTATTTTACATGTCGGTGTTCATGCATGAATTCTTTCCATCACTGTGCACTTGCAGTTGACACCATTTTGACCTCCAAGAAATTTAGACATGTCTAAATCTGGGAGGGTGCATCTATCTACTCAGGCCTGCTTCAGCTTTCAAACCTGCCCTTGGAGGTAGTTGGATTCAAATTCAAAATTTCAGAGTTTCTGTGTGACCCTGGAAAAATTAGCTATTAGTAATGACATAATATTTATTGTCAGGCATTGTGTTAAATGCTTTCCATATATTATCTAACTTCACAGTGGGTTTGTTGTTGTTGTTGTTGTTGTTGTTGTTTTGATTGGTTGTTTTAAATTCTCATCTTCAGATACAGAAACTGAGGCTCAGAGATTTGTCTAGCATAGGCCCAGGTTTGACTGGTTCCAAAGCCCAAATTCTTTTTTTTTTTTAATTTTTTTGTTTTTATTTATTTTTGAGACAGAGACAGAGCACGAGTGGGGGAGGGGGAGAGAGAGAGGGAGACACAGAATCTGAAACAGGCTCCAGGATCTGAGCTGTCAGCACAGAACCCGATGTGGGGCTCGAACCCACGAACCACGAGATCATGACCTGAGCTGAAGTCGGACGCCTAACCGACTGAGCCGCCCAGACACCCCATCCAAAGCCCAAACTCTTAACCACAGTTAGTAACCTTGTACTGTCTTGATTTCCTCATCGGTAAAATGAGGAAAATAGCTGCCTCACAAAGATAACTGTGTTGTGAGGATCGAATGAGATCATCTTGGTAAAAGCTTTTCTTGGAGGCAAAACAGACAGATGCCATTAACTGGATCTCTCGGGAGGACAGAGATGGTCATCTCTGGGGCCTGGGAAAATCATCTTCCTCCTGCTCTTAGGTTACTTACAGCACCGAGAGCTCTCTGGTTTCCAAAACCTCAGGGTCTGCCTCATTCCCTGTGTCCGCAGGTGATTTCCATGGTGATGGTGGCTGTGGGAGTCTACGCTCGGCTGATGAAGCATGCAGGTGAGCTAGAGGCCCCCCACCTCCATCTGCCTATGACTCTTGCCAAGCCCCTTCCTCTTCTGCCTCCTTAAGCCCTGGCCCTCTAACGTGCTTTCCTCAGTTACCTTCTAGCCTGATTTGAGCACCCTACTTCAAGGCATTAGGCCACCCAGGCCAGTTCCCCTGTATTTCCCCGACCTCCCAGGAATCTTCCATGATATGCCTACATTTTAGGGTTAAGTATCTAGGAAAGTAGGTAGGCCTCTGGGAGCAGAGAGTAATCAGAGGCCTTAGCCCCTCCCTCAGTTTGTCCTGGAGTAACTCAGCCTCCATTCCAGTTCCACTGCGCAAAGTCTCCAGGAAACGGAATCTGCAAAACTGGGAGCCTAATGCCATTCTAATTCTTTTCTGGAGCGAAAGTGGTTCCTCCTCTCTTAAGCCTGGGAATAAAGGCACTGACTTTGTTATTTGTTAGTTTCTCAAATTAAATGCCATGAACCTTTCTAGGCCCTTTTTATTCTCCCCATGGGAGGGGAGTACTGCCTCCCATAACCTTCATCCAACCGTACTAGAGATTCCCCCACCAGAGGGGGACAGTTTTGGGGGGCATCCCCCACCTCGTCCCTCGGTATCACTCTCAGACAGCACCAGGCTCAGACTGAGAGACAGCCTCTCCCCCAGAAGCAGCCTTGGCCTGCCTGGCAGTGGACCCTGCTATCCTGCTGATCGTGGTGGGCATTCTCATGTTCTTGCTCACCTTCTGCGGCTGCATTGGATCCCTCCGTGAGAACATCTGCCTCCTACAGACGGTGAGTGGTCAGGGGCCTCACCAGAAAGACCCTGGCCCCCTCCATATGCTTCCCAGGCTCCTGATGCCATTCCTATGACTTTTCAGTTTCACCTGTCCCAACCCCCCTCCAAGGCCTGTGCTGTCCACTCCCCACTCTGGAGCTCAGCCCAGATGAGTCAGCACAGGGTGGCCACCCTCAAGACAGCATGTGAGAGGCGGTGGCCTTTATGTGCAGGGCATCTGGGAGAAGTGCCTGGAGCCCCCAGTACCCAGTACTCCCCACGGCCCTGGGAGGGGCTGCATCCCAGCATGGTAATCCACTGTCTCCTTTTCCTGCCTGCTACCTACAGTTCTCACTCTGCCTCACCATCGTGTTCCTGCTACAGCTGGCTGCAGGGATCCTGGGCTTCGTCTTCTCAGACAAGGTAGCACTGGGGCCCCAGGGGCCTCCTCAGGTGTGAACCGGAGGGAGGAAGAGAAGGTTCCTGCCCATGCTTAGCCTGATTAGTTAACCAGCATTCCCTAGCCTGAGAAGCATCAGCCTTGGAAAGATTCTCCTTAGGGGTGAACAAATGGCCTTTAAAGTCACCATATTTAAAGAGGATTTTCAGATTGTAAGGTGTTTTCCCACTGACAGTCAGAGAGGCCAACAAATAAATTCTATGAACACAAAGTTAAAGCAATCCACAAACTTCAATGGCAAATTATTGGGTAAAATACATTTATCAAGTGGACCATAGACAATAGGAAGAACCTTTTTATTTCTTCTAAAAATTGCCTATTGGGATACATAGAAGGAAAGAAGGGGGAAAGTAAACAAGATTTTGAGCAGTATTCACCATATCTGGATGTGGTCTATTTAGTGACAGTCCTTTTAATTAAGAACCAGAATTCCTTTCTCAAAGGGCAAATGACTTCCAGGGGTAGTACTGGACTATAGAAACTTTGAGAAAAATAGTGGAGCAAGAAGGAAGAAGGCATGGCATAAACGATGAAATGGGGGGCCACTGAGTTCATTCAGAATATCCTAGTCCTGGCTTAGTAAAATCCTAAAATGATACAGATCTGTTTGGAGTCTAAAGAGATGCGGTTTCCTTATGTCCACTAGAGGTCAGTGTCTCAGCTTTGTAAGCCCTTTTCTACTAAAATCTATATAGTGGATTCTCTGCTTTGCCTCAACAAGTATTTGGGGGGAAATAGGGTTCCCAAGTAAATAAATCTTGGATTATCTTGAAATGTGGCTTTGAGAAGTGGCAACAGCAGGTCCTGCGTTTCTCTTGCCTACTGGTACCTGAGGGCCCAGGGATGGACGGGCTTCGGAGTTGGCCATCAACCTCAGACTTGGTTCTGATTTTGAGGTTGACTTCAACGAAGGGTGACCGCTGTCTATGGTTATTCCTGAAGGGAGGAGCAGGTTAAGGGTTAGTCCCATGTTCTGACCCCCTACTCATGTCTCTGGCAGGCACGAGGGAAAGTGAGTGAGATCATCAATAATGCCATCGTGCACTACCGAGATGACTTGGACCTACAGAACCTCATTGATTTTGGCCAGAAGAAGGTATGGGCTAGGAGTGGGGGGAGGTCAGCTGTGGTCTGAGAGGCTGTAGGCAAAAGTTAATGCCATCCCAAGAGACACCTCACCTTTCAGGTCTATGGGCTTCTTCATTACCTGCCAGGTAATGGATTGTGGAAGGAGGTTTGGCAAAAAACCATGCACAGTAGAGTGCTTTAAAAGTATTTTTAAGAGAACAGAACGGTAGTATATATAGTAATCTGCCATTTGTGTAAAAAAAAAAAAAAGGGGGAGGAAAAATATGTATTCATATTTGGGAAAGGAATCTGGAAGGATATGTAGAAACTGTTCTAAGTGGTTACTTTTAGGGAAATAAGGAAATAGGCAGATTTTTAAATATTACCTATTCAAAAGTTACATTTTTAAAATCATGATCAAATCTACAGAACATAAAAATTTACCATTTTAGGGGCACCTGGGTGGCTCAGTCGGTTAAGTGTTAGACTTCTGCTCAGGTCATGATCTCACGGTTCATGGGTTCGAGCCCTGTGTCGGGCTGAGCTGATAGCCAGCTTAGAGCCTGGAGCCTGCTTCAGATTCTGTGTCTCCCTCTCTCTCTGACTCTCCCCTGCTCACACTGTCTCTCTCTGTCTCAGAAATAAATAAAACATTAACAAAATAAAAAACAAATTTACCATTTTAACCTTTTTAAGTATATAAACTGTGGCACTAAGTACATTCACATTGTTTACAACCACCACCACCATCCATCTCCAGAACTTTCTCATCTTCCCCAGAGAAACCCTACCCATTAAACACGAACTCCCCATTTCTCCTTCCCCCAACTCTTGACAACAACTGTCTACTTTCTATCATTTGACTACTCTAGGGACCTCATATAAGTGGAATCATATAGTATTTGTCCTTCTGTGACTGGTTTATTTTCACTTAGCAGGTCTTCAAGACTCATCCATGTGTAGGATATGCCAAAACTTTCCTTCTTTTTTAAGGCTGAATAATATTCCATTGTATGTACCTACCACATTTTGTTAATTCATTCATCTTTCAGTGCACACTTGGGTCACTTCCAGATGGAAGTGATGCTGCTATGCATCAAAAGTTGAATTTTACTTTATTAAAAATTTTTTTAATGTTTACTTATCGTTGGGCGGGGGAGGAAGAGAGAGACAGAACGTGAGTAGGGGAGGAGCAGAGAGAGAGAGGGAGACAGAATCCAAAGCAGGCTTCAGGCTCTGAGCTGTCAGCACAGAGCCCGATGTGGGGCTCGAACCCACAGACTGTGAGATCATGGCCTGAGCTGAAGTCAGATACTTCACCAACTGAGCCACTTTTAAATAAAAGTGCTTTTGAGAACAGTGCTGAGTTCCTCTTCCCTTGGTGCAACTTGACTTGGATCCTCCTTGCTTTCATGGAGTAATGAAGGGCCCACAATATTGAAGATTCTCTTTTGTTTCCTCCGTATTAAGACAAATATTTTCAACACCGATCCTTTAATGATTTCAGCCAGTGTTTTTGAACACCTCATTTTTTACCAGCCTCTATATTATGTAGGACTGCAAAATCAGAACCTGCCTTCTAGGAACTCATAGTTGAATGTGTAAAACAAAACATATAACTATGGTCATTATAACAAGATATATAAAGCCACTGAGAAACATGAACTCAAGGTTTAAGGCTGTGTTTAAACACAGCCTGAACTTACAAATAAAAGCTGGCCACAGACTTTGGGCTGCTGTGAGAATTCCCCTGGTCACCTCAAGGTGAGGAATGGGCCATTCTTAACCTCTGTGGTGGGCTTTGTTACAGTTTAGTTGCTGTGGAGGGAATTCCTATAAGGACTGGTCGCAGAACATGTACTTCAACTGTTCGGAAGACAACCCCAGCCGTGAGCGCTGCTCTGTGCCTTACTCCTGCTGCTTGCCCACCCCCAACCAGGTGAGCCTACATCCCACCTCATTTCCTCCTGGGCAGCAATCTCAGTTACTTCCCATCAGGGTAGCCGCTGTTGGGAATCCCCATTCAGTAGTTTAACCAATCAGCTGTGTAGGACAGCTGTCAGATGTTTTTCTTCACCCCAATCTAATGGCTCTGTTAACTTTTCACTCCCGCAGTTCACCCAGGGATTCAGAAGGTGCAGGTCTCTAAAGCAAGGAGAACAGAACTCAGATCTCCCAGAGGAAAGGAAGCTTATGTTTAGCAACTTCCAAGCTAGGCTCCTCCACATATATTCCCTAACAAATTAGGAGTTTAAGAAGGGTGGGAAGCCCATCAGCTAGGGCTCAAAAGAAAAAGTTTGGGAGTAGGAATCCCATTTAGCTTTTCCACTCTTTCCCCAGGCAGTGATCAACACCATGTGTGGCCAAGGTATGCAGGCCTTTGACTACTTGGAAGCTGGTAAAGTCATCTATACCAATGGCTGTATTGACAAATTGGTCAACTGGATACACAGCAACCTCTTCCTTCTTGGTGGTGTAGCACTGGGCCTGGCCATCCCTCAGGTAACTTACCCTGTAAGCCTTGTGGGTCATATAATTCTGCAAAGACTCCTTTGTTTTGGGTAGGGCACCTGGGGATCAGCTAGGGGGTCAGGCACGGCTATTGCTAAGGAACAGGGGGTGGGATGGTGCTGACCACACTGGGAAGACCGAGTGAGGGAAAATAAAGACATTACTCATTGCTAAGGGCCCAATCCATCTCGCCTCTCCCAGCTGGTAGGAATCCTGCTGTCCCAGATCCTTGTGAATCAGATCAAAGATCAGATCAAGCTACAGCTCTACAACCAGCAGCACCGAGCCGACCCATGGTACTGAGAATCCACCCTGCACCTCCTCACAATGGCAACTGGGAGTTTCATCAACCAACAGCAGTGGGTATAGCTCTCATCACCAGATGGAGACTTGGACTCCAGTCCCCCAGCGACAGCCCAGTGGAAAGAAGCCAACTCCAGCTGGGCAGAAGGCAGGGTGCATAGGTGGCTCGAGTCTAGGAAAAATGCACCTCCTCTTTCCCCCATTCTTAGCCCTCACCGCGGCTAGAGTTATTTTGTATTCTTTTTAACCTGACACATTTGGGTTTATGGTTCTTTTGTTTTGTTTTTTAAGTGTCATCTGGGCAGAGATGTTTGGGAAACAGCAGTTGCACAGTCCTGGGGGTACTAGGTGCTGCTTTACACGGAGGCACTTGGGCCGCTACTGACCCTGCTGGACGTTTTTGATTCCATCTGTCGACAGCAAGACCTGGGTGGAGAGTGGCACTAGCAGCCCTACTTGGAGTCCAGTTGGCATAATACCAGCTCCAGAGGGGAAGGGAGTGGAACAGGCAGTGAGCTTGGGGTCGGCTGGGGACAGTTGTATGTGTTGGGTAGGAGTGCAAGGCGATATGTTTACTAAATGCTGCCCTGCCATCCTCCCAGGTAGTCGGAGTGAGCTACATCCTGCCCCTCCCTCATCTCCATGGAAACATGGCAGCAAGGGCAAGGGGTACAACAGCAGCCAAATTCATCCCTCTCCCCCACTCCACCTCGTTTTAGCTTTGGAACCATGGTCTTTATATTCTGCAGCCAGCAGAGGTGGGACCGAGCCATTTGTGCCCTTGAGTTCCTCTCATCTGGCCCTCCCTCTCCAGCAAGTGGGGTTTCTGTAACCTTGGCAGTGCTGAGGCTAGGTAATCCTTCGCCTACCCCGCTTCTCGGCCCCGCCCCACCATTCCCCTGCCCCAGAACTCAGTATTTCTACTGTGTAAAAAGCAGGGACCTTGCTGGGGCAGGGGGAGCCAGAAGTGGCAATAAAAGTTTGTTGACCTGGGCTAAACTGGACTCCATGAATTTTCCATTCTGGCAACTAGAAGAGGAGGGGTAGAGGGGCCCAGTGGGTGGGCCCTCCCTCCAGGTGGGGACTGGAGACTCCCCAAAACACAGCACCCCGCGGGCCCCATCCCTCACTCCCACTACCAGAGGCAGTAGGGCCCTCCTACCGCCCCTCCTCTGGTCTAAATTAGGTCGAAAGATTCCCAGCACTGATCTGGGAACAGGGTCATTTTATCTCAAAATCAGATGTTAATTTTTTCCCAAACTGAAGTGAATTAAAATTTGCGACCCAAAACTTTTAGGATGGGAGTAGGTAAGAGAACAGCTGGGAATCAGAATCTAGCATTCTCCGTTACAGCGGGGAGGGGAAGGAGGAGGCAGGGCATCTCCTTATCCCCAGTCTGGGCTCTCCAGCCGCCGACTCCATCTTTACCTGAAGGAGTCCGCACCGCGGCCCGCCTTCGTTTTGCGGGAGGACTCCAAGAATGTTGAGCGGGGCGCGCGGCTGGCTTCCTCGCGCCGAGACGAGCGTGCGGGGGCAGCGAGCTGGGCGGCCCGGCGGGCGCGGCGGGGGCGGGGCGGGGGCGGGGCCGCGCGGCGCTGTGGGTGGTCCCCGCCCCCGCGGCGGCAGAACCGGGCGCCTCCGCCTCCGCCTCCTGCCCGGGAGGAGCTGGGAACCGGGTAGCCAGGGAGCTGGTGGGGTTGCGTGACCCAGCTCTCCGGGGAGTGTCCCCCAAAAAGGTCCTCGCTGCCCTCTGCTGACGGGGGTCTCAGACTAGGAGCTTTGGCGTGGCCGGGGAAAGACTCGAAAAGAGTCCCCACAGCATGGGAGAGAGAGTCGCGAGTTCTCTCCCCGCCCCCAGTCTCTTCTAAACGAGCCTCCTGCGCCTGGGAGGGCGCCTTTCCAGCCGCCGCCTGGGGCCCCAGCCAAAGTTTAGCTCCAGCTAGTAACACAACGGAAAGAAAAAATAAAATCATCACATATAAAAAATTAAAAGCAAGGGCCTTTTATTCTGAGAGAAGAGTTAAAAAGCGCGCTTTCTCAGTGTCGAAGATAGATTTTATAAAGCATTTTTGGTGACGGGGACCGTGGGTTTGGATTCGGAATTGGGGTGACGCACTTTCCCGGTTCACTGGCTTTGAGGAGAGCACCTGGCAAGGGGCTCCTTTGGGGAACGCTTGGAATAAGAGAACAGCAACGGTGGTCCGCAGAACCAGGATTCAGACCCAGACTTCTTAAACTACAAGCTACACTTCTACTTAGGTCTCTACTGTCAGTATCTAGCCTCTGGTCTTGGACAAAAGGGTCGGAAATTTCTGCCCAAGTCTCAGTTCTTTTTTTTTTTTTTAATTTTTATATGTTTATTTATTTTTGAGAGAGAGGAGAGACAGAGTGCCAGCGAGGGAGGGGCAGAGAGAGATGGAGACAGAATCTGAAGCAGACTCCAGGCTCCGGGCTGTCAGCAAAGAGCCCAAAGAGGGGCTGAAACTCAAAGACTGCCGGTTCTTGACGTGAGCGAAGCCTGATGCTTAACTGACCGCTCTCCCCACCCCCCACCCCCAAGTCCCAGGTTGTAAAGGGCCTTTAGCAAAAGTTCAGAAGCTTATAGTGCAGCTCAGTGTTCCTAGCTAGATTCATTTATCAGTGTCTCTGGTTCTCAGTCCCTCTAGCTTTCTTTCTCTTTGGCCTGATGCTGGGAGAGAAGATGCCCCAGTTTTTAAAAAGGTTTCTCACTGTTCATATTTTAATTTAATTTGCTCCCTGAATTTCTGTTTCTAATAACCCTAGTCTCAAACAAGTGGTGGGGCTAATACCAGTATCTTAGAACAGCTATCAAATCTAGGCCTCAAAGGTGAGTGAATGGAAGATTATAATTAGGGCAGCAGAATTCAGGCCAGATGGGCAGACGCGGAGGGAAAGGCCTAAAGGATGATGAAAATCTGACTGGGGTGGACATGGCAAGAAAGGTACTGCTACGTTTCATGGGACTCAAGCCCTACAATTTAAACAAGGACTTAAGTCCGAGTGTGCAAATTTTGCAGAATGTTCAATGAAATTCTGATTCCCTCTAAATTTGTTTTCTATTCCTGCTGTAACAAATTGCTACAAATTTAAAACAACACAAATTTGTTATCTTACAGTTCTGGAAGTCAGAAATCTGAAATGGGTCTCCCTGGGCTAAAATCAAGGTGTGATCAGAGCTGAGTTCCATCTGAGGGTTCTAGAGGATCCACTTTCCAACTTCTAGAGGCCACTTGTTTGCCTGGCCCCTATTTCCATCTTCAGAATACATCGACCTCTGCTTCTGTGGTCACATTCCTTTTTCTCTGACTCTCCTATGTCCCTCCTATAGGACTCTTGAGCCCACCCAGATTATCCAGAATTACCTTCCAACTTTAAGAGTCTTAATTTAACCACATCTGTAAGGTCCCTTTTACCCTCTAAAGTAATAAACACACAGGTCAGGAATTAGGACATGGATATTTTGGGGTGACCATTATTCAGCCTACTATATCCCCTCCCCACTCTCATGCATGACTTAAGGTGGGGGAAATTGTTGGTTACCGGCAAAAGCTTGAGGTGGGTGTTGTCTGGCCTTCATTCTAGAAATTACCTAACACTTATTGAGTGCTTACTGTATGACACAGTTTAATATGTAGGTCCTTTAATATGCTATACCCTCATCCTAAAGAACAGATATGTTAATAGGGTCAGGGACCAGTTTCAAAAAGGGGACACAGAAAGCTTCTTCTACCAGAAGAGTTCCCCTGAGCTATTACTCTAAAGAGGTCAGGAATGTTTTGTAAACCACACCCTCTCTCCACAAAATATAAGAGTAATTAGATATTCCCAATTGCCAGGATATAACACTTAGAGGAGGGGATAGAGTGAGGAATAGCCATGCTCTAGAATTTAGATCGGAAGTTAAGCCTCTAGAGTCTTCTCACTACCATGCCAGGAATCTGGCAAATCAGTCAGATAAATGGAATAGCATAGAGACTCCAGAAAACATTTTCAGCCATCGGTACTCACTGACTAGTAAACGCAGGGATGAAAGGAAGGGGTAATCACTAATGTTAGGACAAATGGATTATAGTATGAGAAAGAAGTAACTGAGATTCACCTGTCACATACACTGGGTTGCATTCTAGAGGGTAAAATAATTATTTTCGAGGAAAACAAAAAAAATTAAAGTTGGAATATCATATTGATCCTAGCTGTAGGGAGCTAGAGTGCACAGCTTTTCAGTGTCCCTGCCCAATTCACTATAATTCTTCCTTCTTTGGAAACAGGCTCCCTACCCCTCAAGCCATAGGGGTGAGTCTTAAGGAACCATATTTGTACTGTTAAGACATGGTCTCCGAGACAGAGCTAACTGGATCAGTCTTGGGCACTATATTACTTTCCTAGGTGTACTGTAACAAAGTATCACAAACTGGGTGGCTGAAAACAACAGATACTTATTGCCTCACAGTTCTGGAGGCCAGAAGTTCAAAATCAAGGTGTTGGAAGTGCCATGCCTCCTGGCGCTTCTAGGGGAGGATCCTTTCTGGACTCTTCCAGCTTCTGGTTAAGCCTCCAGAGCCTCACCCTTGGTTGGCATGCCTTGGTTTACGGCAGCTTAACCGCAACCTCTTTCTTTCTCTTCTTATAAAGACATCAAGCATATTAGAATAAGGGCCCATCCTATTCCAGTACGACCTCATCTTGACTAATTACATCTGCAACAACCCTGTTTCCAAGTAAAGTAACATTCTGAGGTACTGAGAGGTTGGGGCTCTATATATGTATAGAAACACTAGTCATCCAATAACAGATAGCTAGCCCAAAACGTGTCAGAGTTCCTTCCCTGGGATTTGAAATTGAGAATGAGATTCTTGTCTCAGCCTGGGCTGACTGCGCTGGTGAAGAAAGAGAAGCAAAGGGAAACTAAGGCTCAGGCTTCTTCACTTTATGGATTAAGTAGCAGAGAAAGTATTTACAGAAAGATAAGAATGGGGGGTGGGGAAGCAGAGAAAAAGGGGGCAGAGGGAGGATGCTTCTGGTGGTGGCTGTCCCTATGATCCTACAACCTTCCTGCAGCTCCACTGCTGTCCTACCTCGGGTTCCCTGAGACCCTGTAGGCTTCCCGAAAAGCTTGGTTGGTTTGCCTAAAGAAGCTCAGCTTGGATTCTGTTGCTTATGAGCAAAGCTAATAGAAAAGCTATAGTCAGATTAAGATACCCTATTAGTTTTCCTTGCTGCTAGAACTGACCACAGTCTTAGTGCATAAATCAACACAAAGTTACCATCATACAGTTCTGTAAATCAGAAATCTGACATGGGTCACACTGGGCCAAAATCAAAGTGTTGACAGGGCTGCATTCCTTTCTGGAAGTTCCACGAGAGAATCTCTTTCCTTGACTTTTACAGCTTCTTGAAGCCCCTTCTTCCACCTTTAAAGTCAGCAACACTATTTCTTTGGTTCTGTACAGCCGGAAAAGTTTTCTTCCTTTTAAGGACTCAAGTGATTGGATTGGACCCACCTGCTAACACAAGCTAATCTCCTTAACCTTAATCACATCCATCTGCAAAGTCCCTTTTGCCGTGTGAGGTGCCATATTCATAGGTTAAGGGATAGAATTGGAACATTTTTAGGATGCATTATTTTGCCTTCCACAGATGCGTACTGAAATGTATCCTGATCATTTGTAATAAGAGAGACGGCTAATGAGTGCTTGGGTGGCTCAGTGGGATGAGCGTCCTGCTCTTGGTTTGAGCTCAGGTCATGATCTCACAATTTGTGGGGTCACGCTCTGCACTCACAGTCAGTGGGGAGCCTGCTTGGCATTCTCTCTCTCCTCTCTCTCTGCCCCTCCCCCCTGCACATGGGCTCCCTCTCTCTCTCAAAATAAATAAACCTTAAAAAAAAGATAGAAGGCTGAGAGTTTAATGGCCTTCCTTTATACTGTTTCTTTCTCTTGTAAAAATTTTTCATTTTATTTGAACAACTCATTCTGAAG